ATGACTCTTCATTTAGTACCACTTCTGGCTTTTATAATTCAGCCAAATATAATTGGTTTGATCTACGATTGAAATGTGTATACTTATAATCTCAAATTTACTTTGTTTGGTATAAAAACTTTATTAAACTATGTAAAAACATCTAACACTTTGAATGTTTCATTTATTTTATATTGAACTATCCAAAACACAAACCATTCCAAACAAATCACAATCAAAATGGAACACTCTGCACCATATAAAAATAAATGATAACATTCAAAACAGCACCATCCAACATGTATAGTTGCATAATTACAGTGAAAATGTGTAACAATGTCTTGTATGTGTGTATGAAAAATCAACACAACATTCAGACATATGGAGTGCATGTGGCGAAAAAAAACCCATCCTATTGTTCAGTCTTGCATTAATTTAACAAAAAATAAATAAAAAGAAAAAATGTCTTTCATAGAGCCAAATCACAAACAACACATCATTAGTTCATAATTCACTCATCATGTTTGTTGTGTGCAATCAGTAACGATGTTGCAACAGTAAGATTATTTGTATTGTTTTCTCTCTCGTTTCATTTCAGCAAACTCACATAAATCCTCATGTGCTTCAGATCTAATAGATTCACAAAGTGTTTTAGTATGATGACTGAAGAACGCAGATGTTCAATACCTGTTAATGGAACCGAATGTCATGAAAACCATTTGGCTCCGTATTTTTTTAAGAAGGAACTATGTCTGACTCTGAACAATCCAGATTTACACATACATAATACTACAATTAAGACATTGTTGGTAAGCAGGTCACCTGATCAGAACACTTGTGACCTTTGGTGACCCAGGAGTGCGAGTAAGATTAAAATGCTGTTGGGCCCGTTGGACCACCGATGACGGTGCGAGCAAGGGGAGGTTTGTCTGGGAACGGGATGCAAGGCATATCTGCAGAACTAATGCAGGGGAATGTGGGGAATTTGACAGGGCCTTTGTTTGTAGGTGTGTGTTTGTGAGTGTGTTTGCGTTCATTGTTGAGATGTGTCACTCTGGTGTGGAAGAATAGAAGAATGAGAACACACAAGCCGTGAGGTCACCGAGAGAACGACAATAAATGAAATAAAGCAGTGATTCCCAACCAGGGATGCATGTACGCTAGCTACTACTTCAGCATGATTTCAGTTTTGCTTTGTCAAACCTTTGTTTTGTGAAATCTAGGTTTGGCAAGTGAATCATTACAATAATGTCCATAAAACGGGTTGGAAAAAAAGGATCCATATAATTGACATAATTATATAATATGTTCACTTTCAGTGATAGATTTTAGGATATGCACTTAAAGATTTTACATGCATTGTTGTACAGGTTTTATGTGGTTTACGCAAGTCTGTGCACTGCAAAAAATGGGTTTCTTAGTATTTTTGGCTTCTTTTCCAGTATAAATTTCTAAACACTCTTAAATCAAGGTAACGATTTAAGATTAAGTCTTGTTTTTTCGAAAAAAAGGTGAGTTTATGCTTTAAAACAAGGAAAAGATGTTTGCCAGTAGCATTAGAAAAATAAACTTAATTTAAATGGAAAACAAGATTGTTTTCAGACCTCATTGGCAGATTTTTTTTAAATTTTATATTAATTTTGACTTAATATATTACGTCTTGTTTTCTGACCATTTCTGATCATTTTGTTCCTCACGTTAAGGTATCTTGATTTAAGAATGTTTAAGAAGTAAACAAAACAAAAACAAGACAAAAATACTTAAGAAGAAAGTAATTTTTTTCAGTGTAGGGCCAGGAGGGTTTGGTCATACAACTTTAAATTGGCTTTGGGTTCTATTTTGAATAACTTTTTTTCTTTAAATCCATTTGTATACTTACAGCAGTGTAAAAACCAGAATTTACTGCTCTGAGGGTCAAACAGGTCTGTAAACAGCAATAAAAACCAGATTTAGAAAGTTTTATAGGGTCTCAACAAATAGAGTGCACATCAGTCCAGATCAAACACACATGCATTTGTTTATTATAATTGTGAATTTGAGTTGTTTTGAGTTTATCTTAGTTTTATTTGCGCTTTGAGTGTAGCATATGTGTGCACTTCAGTTTTGTTTAATGTTGGCCCAGTATTTCATGCATCAGAGCTTTGATATGGTTTACAGCTGCAGTCTGCATGTGCTCTGTGAGATCTGTGTGTGTGTGTGTGTGTGTGTGTGTGTGTGCGACGTGTGCATGCTCACATACAGTACCTGATTGCATGTGTGCACGCCAGCTGTGTTCGTGTGGTTTGCATGTTCTGGTGGATAACGTGAGCATATGTTACATATACAGGGGGTTAATCCTAAAGATTTACTCTAAAGCTCAAGTAGAATGCAAAATTACACCACAAACACATGCACCAAATGCATTAGGCTACATGCTTTTTGGGAACATGCTGTACAGTAGCCAGTGTTGTATGTATGAGATTATTCAGTCTAACAACACTCCATTACTGTCTTAATTTAGCTGGATTAATGATACACTGAAAAAATTGGTATAGGATTTCCTTTATAACAATTTTCACTAATTTCTAATCGAGAACCTGAGAGACAACCAAGACATTTAACTTCTCCTAGTTGGTGAAAAGCTGCTTTGAGAGCTTTAACTTGGTGTAGGACTTTAACTTGACGTGTAGAAGCAGTACTGAGTAAACCAAAGACCCTAAATGTTTACTCGTTCTCTTGAATACAGGATCACAAACACTCAGACACTTTAGGATGTGCCACAGAAATCACTAGCTGAGTTTACAAACATTTTGGAGCGTGTAGCCCACGTGAAACTGTCGGGGATCTCAGTTCCTCTGAAGCCCACATGAGAGAGCAGCTGTGTTATTGAGATCCAGACTCAGCGGCGTTTGCTTTCTTCTCTGTTTGTGTGTAGTTTGAGGGTGTGTATGATGTCACTGCACACAGCTGTGTGATTGCAAACTCTAATGTGATCGGTGTTCATGCATTCTTCACCTGCACTCTAAACAGATATTCAGGGGACCTGTTATCACAACTTAATTAAATGCAGTTACAAAATAAAAACGTATTGATTTATTAAAACTAGGGCTGGGTATCATTCAAAAATTTTCGATATCGATACCGATACCTTGACTTCGATACCGGTGCCTGAACGATACTTTTTTCGATACCAATTTTATGAAATCAATTTTAACAAGATTACATTATCTGTAACCAACACAATAAATCAGTGCAAATAGTTTTAATAAAGCTCAAATAGTCTTCAGTTTACACATCTGTTAGGCATTTACACGAGTGCGTGTTCGTTTTAAAACGCAGTTCAGACAGAATCATGATTTCTATTTATTTTCCACTGATTTACTGATGAGCATTAGCAGCTTCCAGCGCTGTCTGCTTGTGTTCTCTCTTCGATGATCGCTGCTCTGACTCAGAGGTAATAACATATTTCATTTCAGCAACATTACGTGGCCAAAACACACATTAGACGGCAATCCGAAGTTATTACAAACACTCGATGGTGGTTTAAAGTGAGTTTTGAGTAAAAGCAGAATATAAATCTTATTTATTGTCTTATGTAACATGATGCTACAGTTTGCATGAATGGTCACATAACGCGCTTTCGGTCGTGTAACGTTAGTATGAACGGACATCTGCATATGATCGGAACTCCACGCAGCTCCCGCGCTACTCTCCATTGGAAACGAATGACTGAATGACCGGTCTGTCGTTTGTTGGAGATAGTGGAAAGCACGAGGATCGTTTTCATTTTAAAACATAAACGCACCAGTGTAAATGTAGCCTTACATCTAAGGGGGCTGGGACACATTCGCACTACAGCCTCACGTGTGCGCCACATCTCTAAGTGTAACCGGTGTAAACTGTAGTGTGTTCGACTTGACGCAGACAGACTGTGCAGACCGATCGGTGTATTACAGTACCACGAGAGCTAAAGAGAGCAGACTGCTCCGTGCGTTTTCGAATCGCTCTCGTGGATGATCGATCTGCGCCGCACCTCTTCTGGTCGAACACACCGTCTTGTGCTGCAGGCTTATTGGCTCACTGACGCTGATGAGATTAACCCCTTAGGTATCGAAATTTGGTACCGAACGACGAGACGTTTTTTGATACTCGATGGTATCGAGGCAATTCGGTCGGTGCCTAAAAAGTATCGAACTCGATACCCAGCCCTAATTAAAACTTTTAAGTTGCAAACATTATTTTGATGAGTTCTGTTGACAATAATGTTGATCAAACTTAATATTTTGTGTAATTCAAACTGAAATAAAAACTTAATGAAATTGTCTTTGACTGGAAACTGGGCAATGGATTTCTAGTTCCAAACATGTTTTGCATTTTAAAGAGAATGAATGTTAAAATTAAGTGTTATTTATTTATTTTATTTTTTTAGTAAAATAAGTGTTTACTGCTGTCATGTTTGACATTTACAAGAGTTTATGTTGAAGTTTTTGTAGGCATCATTACACATTACACAACACTCATTCGCCATGACCAGAGGCATATTAAAATGTAATTTTTATGAGCAATCAAATTAAAAATTTGCGACAAATTAAGTCCCTTGAACTCAATGTAGTTTGTTGGTCGAACAGTTTAATTAGAACTTGTCATCATAACTCGAAAAAGATTGATGCAAACTGTTGGTTTATTTTCTTGTTCAGCCGAAGCATTTATTTTTGGTTTGAATACTTTAATATTACTGCTTTTCATGCGCTTGTTTCACTCCTGATAACTGAATGCATGAGAATAATTTTTGTGTTTGTGTTTGAATCACTGTTTTTCTTTAAATCTATTTATATCCTTAGACCAATAAATCTGCAAAAAGCAGAATTTACTGTTCTGAGGGTCAAACAGGCTTGTAAACAGCAATAAAACCTAGATTTACAGAGTTTTAAAGGTTTAAAGTCTTAAAATGCTCGCTTTACTCATGATAATGTAATGCATGGAATGATTTTTATGTTTGCATTAAAGAAAGCATTTGCTCCTGTCTCTTGTTTTCCTCTCAGCAGCTATAGACTGTGAGGTCCGGCAGTGGGGTCCCTGGTCTCCGTGTTCGTCCGTCTGTGGGGCGGGGACTACAGAGCGAAGCCGACAGGTAGCCACGCCCCCACGCAACGGAGGCACGCCCTGTCCCGACCTCAAACAGCGCCGCGGGTGTCTCGCACACACCGAGACCTGCAGTGCAGCTAAAGGTAATATACATACTAGCTCTGTTAAATCTTGCCGTCTACATAGGCAGCACACTTCTAAGGCAGCATCCTAACTGCAGTGGACTTTTTTCACATATCCAGGTTTCTCAGAAACAGAAGTCATCATAGTTGGATAAAATTCTATAGTGGCGAATGGAAAGGACAACAAATATAATATTTTTTTCAAGTGTGCTCCAATAGCAAAAGACAAAACCCACAATGGTATTTCTATGACTTTCCCAAAGAAGAAAAAAAAATTATAGGGAGAAAGAAGTCAAATTTGCCATCACTCCCTCAACCGCTGTATTAGAAACACTCATGCAGAAAAAATTTATGAAAGATTTTGCAAGATTTAAACTGGGATTGGCTTCTCCATGAAGGATGCATGCTGTGCAATGCTGCTTAAAAAATTGGCTTATCTTAAAAGAAGTAGAATTATACCACCTAATTTTATAAAAGGGCTTTGCATTGGCAGTAGTGCTGGGTGGTATGACCAAAAATTTTATATCACGGTATTTTTCAAAATTATACCGGTTTCACGGTACACAACGGTATTTTTTTCCATGCATGACCGGGTGTTAACCATATTTTCTACTGATTGAGAGAGGAAATACTGCAGTATATTGACTTAGAATGCCCTATTTTACTGTCATGATGAGTGAATATTGTCAAAAAATACCACACAAAATAGTGACTAAACACGACCCCTTTTAATACATGTTAACCAGGAGTCTTTCAAACAGTGTCGCGTTCCGAACGTTGTTTAATTAAGCGACATACACCGGTATTGCGGTATTTTAAAAATTCATATCATAACAAAAATTAACACCGGTATTTGGTATGAATCGGTATACTGCCCAGCACTAATTGGCAGCATGCGTATAATCTCTTAAAATGCTGTCTGTGTAGGAAGCTCACTCGGTTTTTAGTGTCTCTGTGTGTGTGTGACATCCAGAGTGAGATAAAGAGGGAATGAAAAATGTGTGTTTGTTTATAGAACTGGAGTCAATGTCAGTGCATGTGAATTTCCACATCAGTATCGCATTATCATTCCACTAAATCATTCCACCTTAGTTGCCTGAAGAGACGTATTTTACTAGCTCTGTGTGTTTGAGCGCAGCTGCGAGCTGCACTGTTTTCATTTTAGCTGAGATCTCATAGCAAGACATTTGACCACACACAAAAGACTGCAAATATTTCTTGTTAGTTGACAACATGTCCATTGTTTCCCCCCCCCCCCAACATCATTGTATTTTAGGTGCTCAAGTTTGCACCGTTATTAGTCACCCTTTCATGTCTTTGCAGATCATGTTGTTAATAGCATTGCATTGTACCATAAGCAAATATGCCATGAACATGCCTCTCAAATATGAGCTTAATAAAACTATGGAAGCCCATTTCTGCCACTGAAAAATAAATGGGTAAAGAAATAAATAAAAAAATACAATTCTGTGTAATGCAATTCTGAATTACAAATCAGAATTGCGAGATTTAAACATGCAATTCTGAGAAATAAGTTTAAACCTCACAACTGTGACTTTTTCTCAGAATTGCACGTTTATATCTTATATACACGTACAGTAATTGCGAGTTGTGAAGTCAGAACTGTAAGATATAAACTCACATTTGTAAGAAAATATCAGTCTTTTTCCCCATCAGAATTGGACTTTATAACTTGCAATTCTGACTTTATATCTCGCAAGTGTAAGATAAAAAAGTCAGTATTGTGAGATAAAGTCCCAGTTACCTTTTTGTATTTTTTATTCAGTGGCGGAAACAGGCTTCCATAAAAAACTACTGTTTAGTACACGAATGAGAAATACTGTATACAGGTTTAAAAACTGTTTTAAGGGTGAAGCATGAAGCACACTGCTGTATGCATGTGGGGCTCGTGAGTGTGTTTGTTTTGTGCTCTGGTGCTGCGTTTCGTCTCTGGAGGAGTTTAATTTGCTCTCTTTCATTATCTTGATCTCTTCCTCCTCTTCAGAGGTGGCCAAAATCCTGCCTGACTCATTCAAGCGGAACTTTAAGGACCCCTGGAGACGGCCGCACATGCTTATGAAGGAGGAAAAGAAGAGGTGAGAGCGGCGGGATATTATAGAAAGCAGGACGAATGCAGCTACATTAACAGATAATTCAAACAGTGATCAAAGACCTTCCTGTCTTCTAGCAAAAGGTTGCGACAGGAGCCTAAATATCAAGTGTTGTCTAGATTTACGGCACAATGAGAACAAGATGAATATGAAGCTGTTTATTAGGATTAATTAAATGATCTTTAATCATAGTTTCAGTCAAATAGACCTGATATGGGGTGGGTATCTGTGTTTTTACTTAACATTATCCAAATATAATGCTTACATTTATATATTTTTATCTCACAATTCAGAGGTTTTTTCCGCAATTCTGAGAAGAAAACTCAGGACTGCAAAATATAAACTGAGATGTGAGATATAAACTCAGAACTGTGTGATATAAACGCAAGATATGAACAAAAAAAGTCAGAATTTTTAGATAAAAAGTTGCGATTATATTTTTTACTTAAAACAAAAACAGAATTGAAAGATATATAAACTCAGAATTTTGACTTTCTCACAATTCCGAGTTTGTCTCTAAATTCTGACTTTTCTCAAAAAAAGACTGAATTGTGAGATAAAAAGTCGCAATCACCCTTTTTATTTATATTTATTTTTTTATCCTTTCGCCAAAAATAGCATACTTGCTGGACATACTTTAGATTATTGTGTCTGTATGTACAGGTTGATATGTAAAAAGTCAGCATGAAATGAAAAAACACGTTTATATTTTCCAAATGGATATTATAGATCTTATTGTGAACGATTCATCCATCTGTTTCATTAAAAAAAAAGAAAAAAAAAAAGAAAAGATCTGTCGCTCCTTGCATTTCACATGACTTTAAAGGGATAATTCACCCAAAAATGAAAATCCTGTCATCATTTACCCTCAATTCATTCTAAAGCCATTATGATTTTCATTTTTCTGTTGAAATTATTTATCACCTTATGTAACAGAGAAATGTGCACAGTGAAATTGAATGGACACTTAGGCTGTAAAGCTCCTTAAAAGTAGTCTATACAACTTGTACGCTGTATTCCAATTATATTTCCACTATATTATATTGTGTACATTCAAACATCTGATTCACTCCCTATTCACTATATATTGCATGATATGCCATTCACTATATAGAAAATAGTAAACGTGTGAACAAATTACTTTATAGAGTGTAGGGGGCAGGTCACTTCAGATTTCAGAAAGCGTTTGATTGGACAGAAAACCTGATGAGAAGCGGAAGTGCAGAGTGATGTCATCAAAATGTTTGTTTTGTATTGGTGGATGAGAAAGACTAAATGTTGAATACATATTCTTTCTAAATGGGAATTTTGTCTTTTTTTTTTTTAAAGCACACTAGCTTATAGATAACCTAAGACTAACATATTCATACTAACAGCCATAAAACCGTTTTTAACTGGTTGTATTTTGAGTACAGCAAAGTCCACAACTTAATTAATTTAAATGATTTTACAAACCCGTCCTTAAATCGCTTTATATCCCTTCTTAAACCCCTAGTAACACCTGCCTGAGGCCAGGAAATCAGATTAGTGTGTGTGTGAGAATGAACTCGACGTGTGTGTGATCAGCGTCAGATAATGAGGAGTTAAATAGGATGGCGGGAATTAAATAGCAGGTGCAGGTTCAAATGAACTGTGGTTAAACGACTATGTGAGGATCCTTCCAAACCACACACACAGGAAATCCCAGAGCAAACCCTTTCAATAATCGCAGGTGTAGAGACCACGGAGGAGGAAAGGACGCCACACAGGCATAACACATCAAACTAATGAAATCCAGCGTGGGAAGACTGACCTTTAACTTTATACAGCCTGCAGAAAGTCCTGGTGGAAATAAAAGCACAATTCAGTGTTCATTCATCATCAAGCAGGTTTCATACAGTGTGCAACCAATCTAGGGCTGTCAAAAAAAAAAGTTGAATTTCGAATATTCGTCGAATTTAAAATAAAAATCCACATTCGAATGCAAAAACGTTGCATTCGAATTTTAGGTGTGCATCAGGCAGCCTTATCGGTGGCGCACGAAATGCGACGACAATGTAAGTGTCATTGCATTTTAATGCTTTTGTTAGCCTATCCAGTTGAAGCCACTGAATGTGGCGCTGCTACGTTGTTCATTCAAAATATTGCAGAAAAAGAGAACAATCAATGCGGGGAAGATGTTGTTTATGTCAAAACCGAAACCAAGCCGTTCACACAGAACGCATATTTAATCACATTTTCTAGAGGGACATCTATCACCGTTGCACTCGCGTCTCGCACAAGAGAGCCAGCCGCATGTTTAGAAAGCCATGTAAAATGAATGCAAGTTAAACTTTTAAAAAACATGTCTCAAGACTTTATGGTGGTTTTCCCCATCCCAGTGCATCTCAAGTTTTTAAATGAAGAAAGTACTCTTTGTGATTGGTTTTCGGTGCTTTGTATTAAACTATACATGCATGATGCCGTTTTGTTTCTAATTGTTTAAGCAACTTTATTAATTATATACGGTTTATAAGCATTATTTTAAACATTATGCACTTTTTTCAAAGATAGTCGTGTTATTTTATTATGCTTTGAAGAAACGTGCATAATATTTTGCTTGATGTGGCCTCAGGAGAGAAGCCAAAAGCCCCCCCCCAACTGTAATTATGCCTTTTAAATTCGAATATAATTCGACTATTGATAATATTTAAGTAAAAAATTAGAATTTAGTTTTTCAGCCATTTTGACAGCCCTAAACCAAACATCTTTGCTCATATCATGAGTGGCGAGTTTGCAAGATTCTCAGTGAATAATGCTTTAAATTTAGTCTGCAGATGTTATTTTGATCTGAAATCTGTCTGTCTGTCTGCAGTTACTGTGTGCAGATGCGTGTGAAGCAGGCGAGCGCTGCGTGTAAGGTGAAACCGTGGAGCGCCGGCTTGGTTCGCGAACGATCCGTATGCGTCGAATGTCAGAGCGATGCCATGACGACCGATAACCGCTGCTGTGGCGACGGGCTGCAGAACATCAGGTACGTGTAAAGTACATGCATACGCAAAAACTTACTAAACATTCCTAACAATGAAATTCTTCAGAAATAACCTCTTACAGTTAGGATAACCTCCAACTTGCCTCAAATCCCCAAAGGTAAGTTGTTTAATGAATTTATTGGTGTTTTTAAAAATTGCGCATTAAAAGCACAAAAAAAAAACAAATGCAACAGACTGCTTAATCTTGAAACATGCTCTATTTAAAATACACAGTGCATTAGAAAATGGTCTGGACTCATGTCACAGTGAAAATAGTGTGGGCGCTTATAACGGTATGGAGGGGCCTATGAAATCTGTTTACATTTTTTTTTTCTTAAATTCCATTTTAATTTTTTCTGGATTCAATTTTATTCTGTTTCAATTTTCTGGACTGCGTTTTAATATTTAAATAACATTTTATTATTCAAAAAGCATGCCTAATTAATTGAAGTCATGAAACTTATACAATTTAACAGCTATTTATTATAAATTTACCATTTTTTATTTTTAAATCCCTTTCTGGGGTCCATTTTTTTCAGTTTAAGACTCTGTTTTAATGGTTAAATTAATATGAAATATACAATTTAACAGAAATTTATTACAAATTTAACAAAAATAAAAATTTTAACGCCCCATGAAATCTATTTTATTTCTTCCTCAAATTTGACTGAAATTCTGTGTTTTTAAAATGTTTAATTATTATTTTTTTTAATTATTATTATTATTATTTTATTTATTTTTTTACCAAATTCTGTGTTTTCCATTTTAATTATTCTGGTTTAATTACATTTTAATGATCAAAAGCATGTCTAATTAATATAATTCATAAAAACAACTAAATTAATTAATTTGTTTACAATATTAGGGCCTATGAAATGTTTTTTTTTTCTTTTTTTCAGAGATTCTGTGTTGTGTATTTTAATTTTTCTGGTAATTAAATGAAGGCATAAAACATGAATTTATCTTTTAAGTTTTAATCAAATTAGAATTTTAAACTCTTTCTTTGTTTATTTTGATTTATTTACATTTTTTTTGCAAACAAAATGCTGCACAACAGAGATTTACTGTTAAAATTAAAACATGGGGAAAAATAGTGTGATTATTCCTCAAAAAATAAGGTTTTAATTTTTTTTCAGGTTGCTGTGAAGACCTTTAAGCTTCTGTGTGTCTATGATATGACGATAGTTTTTCTCAAATGAAACCAAAAAAATATTAATGAAGTGACTCTCAGAGCAGCTCTAGAGATGAAGTTCATGTGTTTATGAGCTTTTCAGGAACTGCACTTTTTAGAATTTATCTTAACTTCTTTCATAAGAAGATTTTTATAACTCCAGCTCCTGAACTTGAGGTTTTTGACATCAATGTCTCTTCCACTAGAACCTTCTGGTCTGCTGCATCAGCTCCGGGTTGCTCTGGGTCGTGGGTTCGAGAGTCATTCACTGAGGACTGCCGGTGTCCGTCTTACTCCATGATTTTCGTCTGAACCAAAACACACTTTCAAGCTCATTTCGAGGGACATGGTTGCTTAAAATGATTCCACAGGAGTCCTGGAGAGCCTCCTACATATGAAGCCAAATTCTCTCCATCAAAAGTTAAGCAATCTGTCACCTTCCTGTGCCTCCACCAAACCAACACACAACCCTGTTCTTCTGAAGCTCTGCTATCTACCTCCAAAATGCACCTGCACCCGTTTCTGATGCCTTGGATTATAGATTTCACTCTGTCCTGTTTTTCTACGCTCTCTTCTGATTCATACATACTGTATTTATATATGTTTGAATGTACTTCTGTGTGTCAGTGTGCGTGTGTAAGTAATGTTGGCACGTGTTGCATGTGTTTTGAATGCAAAACTCGTTAATGCACGAGTTGCTGAAAGACAAGCTAATGTATATAAATGTTTCTATTTGGTAGTATTTCGTTTTCTGGAGAAAATCCCTTCTCTGTTCATTTTCAAGTGTCCTGATCTGTGCAAAACACTACAGTGCCTTATGAATGCCACTTTCACACGTTGACCAAAGTTGCTTTGACATCAGCGTTCATTTTGTTTGCATGATTTGAAAGCTGTATTCGAAACTGCATTCGATTCTTCTTGAAAATGGGATACGTTTCCTGTGTTTTCATTTGGTATAAAAGCAAAGTGCCCTCAATTGTGGTCGTGGACCACAACTGATGACGTATAATTTGTCCATCACAGTATAAAACATTTCTCATTACTGCTGGTCTCTGCAGAAATTGCCTTTCCATAAAATCCAATTAATTTTATTAAAATAAATGTCCAATTTATTTATTATTACAGCATCCCTGACTCTAATATATAATGACTTTCGCGCACACATATAGTATAACATCAGGACTGCACCAAATTAGTACTTTCTAGATTGCAATTTCATTGTATTTTTGTCTTTAAGTAATATTTCAATAGTTTTATTGATGCTTTTGTACGATTTTTTTGCCTTTTGTTATTTGCGATGTTATTCGTATTCCCATCACACATTAAACAGTCATTCGTCTCAGTTAATTTTCTATCATTGCTTGCTTTTTCAGTGTCATAATTGACATTTCAGTGTGATTCTGATGCTGTGGTTTGAGTAACGCAGTAACTGGCGTCACCGAGCCGTAGCAGGTATTTAGCGTGCATGTGCTCATTACAGATCAAAGGGCTCGTCTTGTTTACATGCACCCGTCTGCACACATGCTACGCTCACTACATATATTTTGTGGCATTTTTTGCATGCTAGCTCAGCAGCATGCTAAGTACAGTATACTTCAGATTCAGGTAATCATGTGTTGATGTTCAGTTTGTTGGATGGAATTTGTCTGAATTAACAACCGACACAGTTACTCTAACCAGTACTTTCTGCACTGCTTTACACTTCTACTTTAAACTTCTGCTTCAATGCTTTAAATGACTTTTGTAAAAATAAAAAACTAACTTTTCTAACAAAAATGCCAATGTATGAATATCTTTACAAAATTATTTTTTAAATGTGTATTTATACCTATATATGCACTATATAGTGTTTTGAACATACTGAGTAAAATAACATAATTACTATGTATAATGAACCACATGCTACTTTTTACTGTAACTGATTTAACAAAAAATATGCTCATTTAGTTTTAGTAAACTAAAAAAAGCCAATGTATGGATGTCTTTACAAATATATTTTTAGTTTTTTTGTGTGTGTTTGTATATACACACACACACACACACACACACACTACTGTTTAATAGTATATTTTTATGTTTTTGATCCAAAATACAGCAAAAACAGTAATATTACATTTATTTCTGTGATCAAAGCTGAATTTTCAGCATCATTACTCTTGTCTTCAGTGTCACATGATCTTCAGAAATCATTCTAATATGCTGATTTGCTGCTCAATAAACTTTTCTGATTTTATATATTATATATATGATTTTATACTTTATAATATACTGTATATATTTGAAAAAAAAAAAATGTTATGATGGCATTCAATCAAAGATAATTGCGACGGTTGCTAGTGCCATATATGCCTTTTCTGATCTTAAGATGTATTTTGATTGTTTTTAAGGTTTCTTTTATATTACTTATTTAAGTATATGGATATGATCCCTTTTTAAATGTTGTCTTCTGCTCATTGTGTTACTGTTTGTACAGCACTATGGTCAACGTTGTTGTTCAGTGCTTTAGAAATAAATTTGAACTATATATATATATATATATGAAGAGTTTGGTTCCAAAAACAAATCAGTATTGTATCTGGTCGGTATTGAAAAGCCAATTTTTAATTTTACGCAAAATGCGATATCCGCCATCTTATTTTGTCTTGTTTTCTCCCTGTCTTTCCAAACCGCGACAAACGCCAGTCTCCCTTCTCTGCAGAATGCGATACATCCGCTCAACCAATCACAGCGCACCATTCCATGCATTGTAAACAGTAACTGACAAGCTACGCAATATCGTGTTCATAATCGCAGATGAATCGTTTTCGATTATGAACGCGATATTGCATAGCTTGTCAGTGTTCTATGGCTCTGTGTATTAAATGCCGCTCCATCTGAAAGCATGTGATGGAGATTTACTACTAATCACAGAACCGGCTTTACTGACGAGATGAGCATGACAATCGCATGCGATTTATCGTGCAGCCCTAAAAAAATTAATAATTTTGACGCATTGATGAACCTGTGGTGGTTTCTGCGGTGGGGAAGAAACGTAAGCTATTAATAAGATTAGTATTGACCAAGTTCAGAGGCTGTCGTATGTGGATCAACTTTCTTTGTGTATTTTCAACAGTTTCAATATGAAAAATAACTTTTATATTGATTCAATGGATTTATTGCATTTTGGGAAAAAAATAATCAGTTTTTATAATAAATCTTTTACAATCAAAATCTGGATTAGAATTTTTAATGTTATTATAACCTAAAGATGCTATGTGAAAGATTGAAACAGAAAATAGTGGTTTTCATCTCGCCACTTTCTTGGTAAAGAAAACACATTTTTACTCAAATTAATCAAGATGGATTTATAGCGTTTTGGAACCAAACTCTTCATATATATAGAACTAGTATGCATACTGACTGAACATACTAAAAGCTAGAATGTAGTACTCACAGTGTTTGTCAGAACTATGGTCCAGTGGTTAGACGGTGTGTTCATGCCTGATAAGGTTCAAATCTGGTCTGTGTCAAGAAAAGATCCCTTTCCCCCAACTTCCTGTCTGCTCTGTACTGTCAACATACAATAAAAATGGCAAAAGCCCATCAATAATAAAAAAAGAGTGACCTCACTGAAAAGACAACAGATGAGCTCAGTGATTGGCTCGCCAGTGATGTCATGGTTAATTTCTCCAGTGAGCTCACTGAAGGGCTTTCTAATGGGGTCTGTGAGGGTTAAAAACAGATAAAGTGTACTTCTGAATCAAGGCTAACCAAATTACATGGGTTTGGCGGGATTTTATTTTATAACTGTGAAAGGGTATAGTTTCATTTTATAAGGAGTTTGACTTATTTTATTAGTGCAAGGGGTTTGGTAGGGTTTTGTTCTATAAATGTAAAAGGTTTGATATCGTTTTATTCTGTCAGTGAAATGAGATTCTGGGTAACCGATGGGGGAAACATGTCATCTTTGGCCCACTGCTTTATGGCTGCTGACAGCAGTGGATTCTGGGATTAGGGGTTGAAAAGAAAGGCATTCCAGCCCGTTCACTAAACACCAGAGGAAACTGTCTAAAATCAAAAGTGAACACGACCAATGAATAACTAATGAAACGGAGCAGAATTATCTTTTTCATCTGCAGTGGCATTTCAACACTTGTAAAGCCATAAGGCAAAATAAATAAATTCAAATATTTCTGGCCAAAATATGTTATAAATATATGCTAAATATATGTTGTAATCAGTGAAGTTCCAATCTTACAGGAGCCTACATTTAGTTTTTCTTAAAATGTGAGATCGAATCTTGGATCGAAATGTATGGAGGGCAAAAATATTATATAAATAATAAAAGCTTTAAAAAAAAAAACTATATATATAACTATATATATATATTCAAAAAGATTTAAAAAATGGACAAAATATATTGGTAAATATAGCAAAATATATTTTAAGTAAATATATTTGAAACATATTTTGGTCTTTTTTTTTTGCATCTTTTTAAAATATATTTAATATTTTTATATTTAATATTTGAACTTTAATATTCGAACAATGCCTGAAACTTGGTATTACGAGCATTTCTTGTGTGTTTAAGTTACCTCTTTAAGATGAATTGCTTGATGTATTCCCCAAATTGTAAGTCGCTTTGGATAAAAGCATCTGCTAAACGAATAACTGTAAATGTAATATAACTTTTTTTCCCCCTTAAAGGGTTAGTTCACCCAAAAATGAAAATTCTGTCATCATTTACTCACCCTCGTGTTGTTCCAAACCCGTATGAATTTCTTTCTTCTGCTGAACACAAAAAATGAATGTTGGTAACCAAAACAGTTGCTGGTAGCCATTGACTTAACAGTTGCTGGTAGCCAATGAAAAAATAAATACTATGCAAGTCAGTGGCTAACAGCAACTGTTTGGTTACCAAAATATCTTCTTTTGTGTTCAGCAGGGGGGAAAAAATGATACAGGTTTGGAACAACATGAGGGTGAGTAAATGATGACAGGGTTTTATTTTTGGGTGAACTAGCCTTTATGCTAACTGGGCGTCGCCGCTGCGGTTCCAGTGACAGATAAACTTTTCCCTCTCGTGTGTATTTTCCTTTCAGGAACAGACTGCAAACATTCTTCCCACAACCCCAAACCTCGGGTTACAAGTAATACTGCGACTTAACGAGTACACTGATTACATAACAAACCACAAAACTCACCTCAGTGAAAACAGTCCCGCGCAAACCAGCTGCTCACGCGAGCCGTTAATGACGGCTTTGTGACGCGCGTGCAGATGTGCAGCGAGAAAGAATGATAATGAATGTGCGCGACTCTGGAGAAACTAAACTCTTTCATCTAACGTTTTTCGAGAAGGTTTACCAAAATGTTTTCGATGTTTGTGGGACTACATATTTGTCTTCTGGTGGGAAAGTAAATATAGAACTTAATTAGTTCATGGTCTCAATCATGAATAACAGCGCTTCAAGATGTTATATATTGCCATCTAGTGGAATGATCATGCAAGTACAACTTACAAAACGCACTGGTCCCAACCCTGGTCCTGGAGGCACCCCAACACTGCACATTTTGCATGTCTCCTTTCTCTGACGTACCAATTTCAGGTCTTGGAGTCTCTACTAACGAGCTGATGACCTGAATCAGGTGTGTTTGATTAAGGAGACACGCAAAACGTGCAGTGTTGGGGTGCCTCCAGGACCAGGGTTGGGAACCACGGAGCTAAAGGGACTGAAGCCCCGCAATGTTTTATTCCTATGCCCTGCATGCATCATCAAATGCATTTCAAAATAATTCCTATTAGAACCATGGGCTTGCTTTCTGCACATCCAACAGTGTTTACTACACTGTCATTCACTCCTGACAAGAACCGCCCATTAGGCTCAAACTTCTGACAAACCATCATAAACAGAACAGCAGCTGCTTCAGGTATCTGTAACTTACTGTATAACTTATCGCTATAATACAGATTTTGCCATTTGTCAAATTAGGTTATTTGTTACTGAGCACTGTCACTGAAGCAACAAATAGCCTATAGATATTTAATTTAAAAAAAATGATATGCACATCTATGTAGGCCTACACACACGCATTTAGAGCAGTTATATGAGCGGTTTGGTTAGCATGGTCTGTGGCAGACTTTTCTTCGTGTCGGCAACAATTCAATAAACAAGAAATAAATATTGTGTGATAAGTGATTCAAGACAATATTGTCTTTTTTGCTCTATTTTGCTCACAAAAATGGTTTCAGACAAAGCCATGTTGTTTTTTTTTTCTGTCGTTTCATATATTTCTATATTCGTTCTTATTTAAAACATGAATCTCATATTTATGCAATTTGCAAGTGCAGTGTCATGGTTTACAGTGAATTTATAACAGCTTGACGTGGAGCTTTTTTATTACTTTTTTTTTCTCCCAGGTATGTCTATGTATAGGCCTACTTTTTTTATTTTTTCTGTGTTATGTTTTTATAACTGTACTGCCTTAATGGTTTGATGTTTTGTACGGTTTCATAAAAAAGAAATCAGGAAAAAAGATTTTCAAACCGGTTCCAAAGTCTCGATCTGAATCAAATGACACGCGCTCCGAAATTCCGATCTGAATCAAAAGATTCACGAACCCGCTCCGAAGTTCCCGATCTGAATCAAATGATTCGCGCTCTGCGCTCCGAAGTCCTGATCTGAATCAAAAGGTTCAGGAACCTGCTCCGAAATTCCGATCTGAATCAAAAGATTCACGAACCGGCTCCAAAATTCCGATCTGAATCAAAAGATTCATGAACCGGCTCCGAAATTCCGATCTGGATTAAAAAAATCATGAACCCTCTCAGTTCCGATCTGAATCAAAAGATAAACGAAACAGCTCAGAAGTTCGGATCTGAATCAAACAAACCCGCTGCAAGGTTCTGATCTAAATCAAATGATTCGCAAACCCTTACAATGAAACTTACTTTGAAATACCACGAGACTAAAATTCATGTACCATGATATTTACATAGTACTCCAAGAATCACAGGGTAGGCTATATATACAAAAACAGGCTACATGGTACTTATATTTTCTATTATGTTATTCTGTTATTTTGAATGTACTAAAGTTAAACTGTCTAAATGAAAACAAATTAAAACGTTATAGTTTATTTATGTTCACATATGTCATTCAGCTTTAATAGGAGTACAACATTTGATTTACAGATGCAGAAACAATAGTGAAACGTTCACAGATTTTCAGTCTGGTATTTCATACAAAGCCACCCTAATATATACCCAAAAAGGAAAATAACAAAAGAAAAATATCAAATTCGTCCTTAGGTTAGAGGATATTTTGTGGGTTGCATTCACAATAGTGACTCACTCATCTATAGACTGTGGTGAAATGCAACGACAGTGCCATGAGAATCAGTCGACATCTGAAAACAAAAATGTTTCTGATAACCTGTATACACGTGCTATACACATGGAAAACAAGGATACACCATTATAAAAGTGTCTGATGAAGGCAGATTTCTCATGGGAATATCATTTCTAAACTAGGTCATATTACAGTTGTGTTCAGTTAAAGAGTGCAAGGTATTTGTTGATTCAGAAAGCATTGACTGAAATGGCTCTAACATACTTTTCTTACAGGTAACATTTTCATCTTTAAGCTTATGTACAATCCAGTTCAAATAAGTGACGATTAACTGAAGGCAGAATTGAAATGAGTGCTTAACTTCTTAATAAACCACCCCATGTTTCTTCTAATCTTTTCTCATATGCATAGCAAACGCATAAACACACACTTCCCTTGGAGAGAAAACCAGAAATGTTTTGGATCACCTCGGCCACACCTCCAGGAAATGACATCACTCTGGGAGTCTATTTGAGGTTTTTGAGCTGCCGGTTGGTGGAGCCGATCTTGCCGTCCATCGTGTCGACCTTATTGAGCAAAGCGTCCAGAGAAACGTCCTGGTCGTCGATCTCGGCCTGCAGCCCCAGACCCAGGTTCTTCAGACGACCCAGACCCATCGACATTTCATCTGCAGGACACAAACGCACGTTCAGATGCGGTGTGATCCCGTTAAGGTACGAGAGAAAACTGTTTTGTGTTACTCACCGAGGTTACTGTCCAGCTGTTGATGGGCGGCCCGTAGATGTGTGTTCTTGGGATACCCGTTCTGATCGGACGGCCCGTTATCCAGCGAAGCAGACGCTCCGAATCCTGTTCAAACCAACATTAGTGACTCTGATGAGCTGACAACTGCTAATAGTTGGAGAAGCTTCGAAACCTTTGAGAATCATTTGTTTCGAACTAGTGATTCAAAGCGTGTATCAAACTGCCACAGTCCTGCGATTTCAGTAAACGAGGCATCTCCGTATTTCAAAGGTTCACTGCCAAGAGGGAACGATCCCCCCATGAACCAGTGTCTATATGGTGCTTTCCTGATTTCAGGCAAGTTTTATCAATTTGTAGACATTTTAGTAATGTATTTGTATAATTAAAAGAAAGAGTTTTAGTTAACAGTCTCTTGTTGAGCTGAATAACCATAAAACAAACCAAAATTCCCTACAAATTGATAAAATGACACATTATTTGTTTGTTTTTATTGCCATGCCAGTATCTATGGCTGTTTTTATGGCATGTGTTTGAAAAGAAATAAATAGTATTAACATACAGTAGAAATGAAAAACCACAACTCATAATCGACTCACATCAATATATAGAATTTTCATTTCAGTATTAAGATTACTTAATTTCAAAATTAAGATTATTCAATTTTTATATATCATCCATTAGAGTAAAAACATTGCTTAGTGGCATTTAAAGCAAAAATAACGTTATACACACACTTCATATTTAATGGTATCAGATGATTTGTTAATTGCATTTAATAGATTACACTTTCAAAAAAACATTCGCAATTGGTTTGTAAAAGGTGTTTTTAATGCAGGTTTTTGTTGCATTTACACTGTTTTGACCAGCGTGCGGTGTGTTTCAAGTGCTTTGAAACAGTGACTCATTATGCAAATTGGTTTCTCTCATCACTAGGTAATACTGACTCTCAAAGGATCATGGATAAACATCCTGTACGTGTATAAGTAATGTACAGTGTATATAAGTATGCATAAGTTAGGAAGTGCATCATCATGTGTCTGTGTTTACCAGATGTGTCCAGTTTCCTGAGGTTGGGATGGCTGGCTTGATATTTGTCTTCCTGCTGTTTGCTCTCCACAAGCGCGTTCTGTAACCTAACATCATCAGACATTCACAAAATTAGTTTTGTTGTTTTATAATATTCAGAAACGTTGTATTTTTTCAGATATGGCATCTGACCTACAGTATATCTGAGTTGATGTGAATCTAAACAAATGTGTCTTGGATCTTGTCTAATGTTTACAATGATGCAAATGTTTTTTCCATATTAATTTTCTGGGAACTACATTCAGTGTTTTGTCAGCTGAATGAACTGTACATCACAGCTTCGTTTTCACATTAAATCTAAAGGCTTTTACTTGAATGCTTGAGTTTAGTATGCAATTTTAACTTTTTAATTAATTTATTTTTTTTATCATCAGGGTTTTTCCAGGTCTTAAAATCCTTGATTTGCAGTTCCCACAAATTATGGCCTTAAATCAGAACTGAAAGTCAGATTCATAAAGTCACGGTGTTAAATGTTGCACGCACTGCAAAAAATGACGTTCTTATTTTCCAGTACAAATATCTAAACATGCTTAAACCAAGAATCTGGGGATGCAAAAGGAAGATATGAAGTCTTGTTTTCTGAGAAACTGAACAAAATGAAGTGAGTTTATGCTTAAAACAAGAGCAAACATCTGTGGGGAATGAAAACTTGTTTTCCCCTTGAATAAAGTTGATTTTTCTCACCCACTGGCTGATATTTGTTCTTGTTTGAATCATTTGAATTAATATTACTTAATATCTTAAATAATGTTATTTCTCAACTAAATGTAACTTGATTTAAGAATCTTTAGACATTTGCACTGGAAAACAAGATAAAAATACAGATAAAGAACATCACTTTTTTTGCAGTATGATCAGAAGGTAAATAAAAGTTATTTGAGTGCTTAAGAGCAGAGCTATTCGAGCCACGGGCTTTTTTTATTATTAAAATGAATTTGGATTAAAAAGTAATCGAGATTAGTTGGGTTTTTTAAAACTTTGAAGTTTTGCTAATATTACTAATTCCTAAAATTTTCTGAAAGTTGTAAATATATCTTAATAAAACCTGCAGAAACCCTGTTTATACATGCATACGTTTTTTTTTTTTTTTTAGCAAAAATGCATTACATTACAGGAACATTGTGCTGTTATACCGTGTTTCAGTGCATGTAAACGTCTAAAAGCTCCTAACATTGAGTGAGTATTTCATCTGACCTGCTGTTGGCCTCGTAGGACACGGGCTGCTCCTTTTGAGCAGGTTTGGGAGGTTCAGGGTTGCCTTTGAAATAGTTGACCATGCCACCCCACACACTCTTAATGGTGTTTATGTGCCTCTGGCTCGTCCTCATGTCCTGCTCCATGTTGTCAATCATCCTGTCTGTCCTCTTCAAAGCCTCACCCTGACGAATCAGTTCCTGTGGAGGACAACACAGCCATTTCAATGAAACAGCCAAGAGAGACAAAATACTCTAAAGCTCAGTCTCTAAGAGCTTCCTCTCACCTCCGCCGTCTCGGCTCCGACTTTCTCCGATTCGTAGATGAGGCCGAGCGAGCGGTGGCTGCTGTCCACGGCCGACTGCGCTGTGCGCATCACTTCCTGCTGCAGCTGTCTCTGCCGTCTCTCCGCCGGACTCAGCGAACTCTCCTCCGGATCGTCCTCAAAGTTAAAGCCTCTTCGAGGCTTCGAGTCCTCTTCATCATCATCATCGGCGAAAGGATTGTGGGATTTGGGGTAGGCAGACATCCTGTGCTTGAGTGAGATGACAGAGATACAGATATCTGAGCTGGTGAACAGCACAAACAATATTTTATAGGGTATATTTATTCATTTGATATTTGCATGCATATTTATGCTTCTTTTTCTTCTTAACAATATTTCTAAATAATAATATGTATAAAAATATGAAATAAATATGATTTGTAATTATTATTTATTATTAATAATATTATTTATTAATAATATAAATGAAGATAGTAATATTTAATTATTATTATAAGACATATACATAATATATTACTTCTACCACTGCTAATATTAATTATTAATATTGTTTCTTATTGTTACTAATATGCTGTTATTAATCATTTTTTCACTAATTAACATTAAATATATTTTTATACAGGAACGTTACACAAATACTACTAAAATTCTAAATAATTATTAAACTACATAATACTCTACTATTAATTATTAATAGTGTTCATGACATTATATATATATATAAATAAGATAGCGATGATCTAAAACATGAAAAAGGTCAGTTAGAGGCGCTTTTAGTAGAAGATCTGGATAAATGCATAATGTCTGTCTTGTACAAACTACTATGGCTGACAAACAATCATCGGAAAACACTCACAGACATAGAGTAAGCGTATTAAAATGTGTAATCGTTTCATAATTCTCCTTATTATTAACTAGCCTACATTTAAACTGAGCATGCTGAAGAAACTCGCGTTTGTTATCTATCTCCGCTACTGTGTGTTGCCTAAAACAGCATCTAAATAAAATTAACATCATCTTCAACAACGTTTCCTCTCTGTCTGTTTGATTAAAATACGATATATTGAATATTTTATCGATAAATGTGTACCTTTGATCGCTGGAGGCTGATGTGTTTCTCCTGCTATCAGCTGACGCAACTTCCGGTGGTGTCATCGTGACGTCAGACAGGCCCCGCCTCTTACACGCCTGAGTCTTTGCGCTTGTTGATGTTATTGTTTATGACGCTTTGTTTTGACGTTTAGGTTTCGAAATCTATTGCTAGCATCTGAAAATAAAGATAGCTAGAGCTACAATATACACTTCATTAACTTACAACAAATGTTTGCAAGTTATTCCAATTCCAAAATTATTTTTTAATTATTATTATTATTATTATCATCATCATCATTAATAATAATAATAATATTTTCTTTATATGACAATATTTTATTATTAAAATGAATTTGGATTAAAAAGTAATCGAGATTAGTTGGGTTTTTTAAAACTTTGAAGTTTTGCTAATATTACTAATTCCTAAAATTTTCTGAAAGTTGTAAATATATCTTAATAAAACCTGCAGAAACCCTGTTTATACATGCATACGTTTTTTTTTTTTTTTTTAGCAAAAATGCATTACATTACAGGAACATTGTGCTGTTATACCGTGTTTCAGTGCATGTAAACGTCTAAAAGCTCCTAACATTGAGTGAGTATTTCATCTGACCTGCTGTTGGCCTCGTAGGACACGGGCTGCTCCTTTTGAGCAGGTTTGGGAGGTTCAGGTTTGCCTTTGAAATAGTTGACCATGCCACCCCACACACTCTTAATGGTGTTTATGTGCCTCTGGCTCGTCCTCATGTCCTGCTCCATGTTGTCAATCATCCTGTCTGTCCTCTTCAAAGCCTCACCCTGACGAATCAGTTCCTGTGGAGGACAACACAGCCATTTCAATGAAACAGCCAAGAGAGACAAAATACTCTAAAGCTCAGTCTCTAAGAGCTTCCTCTCACCTCCGCCGTCTCGGCTCCGACTTTCTCCGATTCGTAGATGAGGCTGAGTCTTTGCGCTTGTTGATGTTATTGTTTATGACGCTTTGTTTTGACGTTTAGGTTTCGAAATCTATTGCTAGCATCTGAAAATAAAGATAGCTAGAGCTACAATATACACTTCATTAACTTACAACAAATGTTTGCAAGTTATTCCAATTCCAAAATTATTTTTTAATTATTATTATTATTATTATCATCATCATCATTAATAATAATAATAATATTTTCTTTATATGACAATAATATATAACTACTACTACTACTAATTATTATTATTATTTATATTGTTAATAATAATGATACTCATTATTATTATTAATATACGTAATATATTATTTCTATTACTACTACTATAGTACTAACGATTATTATTAATTGTTAATATTGTTACATGATAATAATAATAATAATAATAATAATACATTTATTATTAGTAGTAGTAGTAGTAGTCGTAATAGTGGTAGTATTAGCATTATTGTTGTTATTATTATGCTGTTATTATTATTATTATTATTATCATTATTATTATTATCATCATTAATAATAATAATAATATTTTCTTTATATGACAATAATATATAACTACTACTACTACTAATTATTATTATTATTTATATTGTTAATAATAATGATACTCATTATTATTATTAATATACGTAATATATTATTTCTATTACTACTACTATAGTACTAACGATTATTATTAATTGTTAATATTGTTACATGATAATAATAATAATAATAATAATAATACATTTATTATTAGTAGTAGTAGTAGTAGTCGTAATAGTGGTAGTATTAGCATTATTGTTGTTATTATTATGCTGTTATTATTATTATTATTATTATCATTATTATTATTATCATCATTAATAATAATAATAATATTTTCTTTATATGACAATAATATATAACTACTACTACTACTAATTATTATTATTATTTATATTGTTAATAATAATGATACTCATTATTATTATTAATATACGTAATATATTATTTCTATTACTACTACTATAGTACTAACGATTATTATTAATTGTTAATATTGTTACATGATAATAATAATAATAATAATAATAATACATTTATTATTAGTAGTAGTAGTAGTAGTCGTAATAGTGGTAGTATTAGCATTATTGTTGTTATTATTATGCTGTTATTATTATTATTATTATTATCATTATTATTATTATCATCATTAATAATAATAATAATATTTTCTTTATATGACAATAATATATAACTACTACTACTACTAATTATTATTATTATTTATATTGTTAATAATAATGATACTCATTATTATTATTAATATACGTAATATATTATTTCTATTACTACTACTATAGTACTAACGATTATTATTAATTGTTAATATTGTTACATGATAATAATAATAATAATAATAATAATACATTTATTATTAGTAGTAGTAGTAGTAGTCGTAATAGTGGTAGTATTAGCATTATTGTTGTTATTATTATGCTGTTATTATTATTATTATTATTATCATTATTATTATTATCATCATTAATAATAATAATAATATTTTCTTTATATGACAATAATATATAACTACTACTACTACTAATTATTATTATTATTTATATTGTTAATAATAATGATACTCATTATTATTATTAATATACGTAATATATTATTTCTATTACTACTACTATAGTACTAACGATTATTATTAATTGTTAATATTGTTACATGATAATAATAATAATAATAATAATAATACATTTATTATTAGTAGTAGTAGTAGTAGTCGTAATAGTGGTAGTATTAGCATTATTGTTGTTATTATTATGCTGTTATTATTATTATTATTATTATCATTATTATTATTATCATCATTAATAATAATAATAATATTTTCTTTATATGACAATAATATATAACTACTACTACTACTAATTATTATTATTATTTATATTGTTAATAATAATGATACTCATTATTATTATTAATATACGTAATATATTATTTCTATTACTACTACTATAGTACTAACGATTATTATTAATTGTTAATATTGTTACATGATAATAATAATAATAATAATAATAATACATTTATTATTAGTAGTAGTAGTAGTAGTCGTAATAGTGGTAGTATTAGCATTATTGTTGTTATTATTATGCTGTTATTATTATTATTATTATTATCATTATTATTATTATCATCATTAATAATAATAATAATATTTTCTTTATATGACAATAATATATAACTACTACTACTACTAATTATTATTATTATTTATATTGTTAATAATAATGATACTCATTATTATTATTAATATACGTAATATATTATTTCTATTACTACTACTATAGTACTAACGATTATTATTAATTGTTAATATTGTTACATGATAATAATAATAATAATAATAATAATACATTTATTATTAGTAGTAGTAGTAGTAGTCGTAATAGTGGTAGTATTAGCATTATTGTTGTTATTATTATGCTGTTATTATTATTATTATTATTATCATTATTATTATTATCATCATTAATAATAATAATAATATTTTCTTTATATGACAATAATATATAACTACTACTACTACTAATTATTATTATTATTTATATTGTTAATAATAATGATACTCATTATTATTATTAATATACGTAATATATTATTTCTATTACTACTACTATAGTACTAACGATTATTATTAATTGTTAATATTGTTACATGATAATAATAATAATAATAATAATAATACATTTATTATTAGTAGTAGTAGTAGTAGTCGTAATAGTGGTAGTATTAGCATTATTGTTGTTATTATTATGCTGTTATTATTATTATTATTATTATCATTATTATTATTATCATCATTAATAATAATAATAATATTTTCTTTATATGACAATAATATATAACTACTACTACTACTAATTATTATTATTATTTATATTGTTAATAATAATGATACTCATTATTATTATTAATATACGTAATATATTATTTCTATTACTACTACTATAGTACTAACGATTATTATTAATTGTTAATATTGTTACATGATAATAATAATAATAATAATAATAATACATTTATTATTAGTAGTAGTAGTAGTAGTCGTAATAGTGGTAGTATTAGCATTATTGTTGTTATTATTATGCTGTTATTATTATTATTATTATTATCATTATTATTATTATCATCATTAATAATAATAATAATATTTTCTTTATATGACAATAATATATAACTACTACTACTACTAATTATTATTATTATTTATATTGTTAATAATAATGATACTCATTATTATTATTAATATACGTAATATATTATTTCTATTACTACTACTATAGTACTAACGATTATTATTAATTGTTAATATTGTTACATGATAATAATAATAATAATAATAATAATACATTTATTATTAGTAGTAGTAGTAGTAGTCGTAATAGTGGTAGTATTAGCATTATTGTTGTTATTATTATGCTGTTATTATTATTATTATTATTATCATTATTATTATTATCATCATTAATAATAATAATAATATTTTCTTTATATGACAATAATATATAACTACTACTACTACTAATTATTATTATTATTTATATTGTTAATAATAATGATACTCATTATTATTATTAATATACGTAATATATTATTTCTATTACTACTACTATAGTACTAACGATTATTATTAATTGTTAATATTGTTACATGATAATAATAATAATAATAATAATAATACATTTATTATTAGTAGTAGTAGTAGTAGTCGTAATAGTGGTAGTATTAGCATTATTGTTGTTATTATTATGCTGTTATTATTATTATTATTATTATCATTATTATTATTATCATCATTAATAATAATAATAATATTTTCTTTATATGACAATAATATATAACTACTACTACTACTAATTATTATTATTATTTATATTGTTAATAATAATGATACTCATTATTATTATTAATATACGTAATATATTATTTCTATTACTACTACTATAGTACTAACGATTATTATTAATTGTTAATATTGTTACATGATAATAATAATAATAATAATAATAATACATTTATTATTAGTAGTAGTAGTAGTAGTCGTAATAGTGGTAGTATTAGCATTATTGTTGTTATTATTAT